TTGAATTTGCCACCAACCCAACAACAAAAAAGGGGTTGCATATTAAATTTAAAGTCTAGAGACAATGGAAAAGGCTCAGTGAAGCAGACCCTTGAGCTTTCAATTTGGTATTTATGAGGTTGAAGGGGGCATGTTGGTGTGGTGCCACCACCATTTAAATTTTAAAAAAAGCTTAGGAATAAAGTCTTTGGTTGGTGACCTTGATTTCCTTTTCTTCTTAGCCAATTTTCTACCAAACATTATTTTCCTTTCTTAAAAAACTAAAAACATAACCACATATTTTCATTGCATTTTTAAATATCCGCATTTACATATGTACATATCTCAATGGATCCATCAAATTACAAATTATACAAATTTAAATCTAAACTAAAATATTATCGTATAGAACTGGATTTAAACATGAAACTTCAAAATTTCAGGCCCCTACTCGTCTTACAGGAGAGCAGAGGAAGAATAAGTGAAGAAAACAGAACCTGGAATAGAAACAATGAAAAGAGGAACAACGTTGATGAGTTAGGCAAGAAGTAATTAAGAAGGAAGAAATGGGGCCTTGAAATATAAATCATTGATGGGCAGGAGTGGCCTAGATGAGCAATCCAGTACTAGAGCCATAGCATTAGATGAGACTCTTTTCTTTGTTACTGAAAGATACCCATGTCCTAGAAAAGGGTTAATGTTCCCCTAATTAAAGCACTGCCGGTAAAGAAACAACAAACAACAAACAACAATCAGACATGAGCCACTAGTACTGTATCATAATTCCAACTCAAGGGAGAGATTTCTGTATCAATCCGTTTCAAATAATTGAGCTCTCATAATCAACATCATGCATGTTCATACATGTTCCACTACACCTAATAATCAATTATTATAGGGATTTCTAAAACATTTCTCTATTTAATTGGATGATATAAAAAGATACCAACTGAATCAATGTTTAAAAAGTCAAACGACAAGTAAAACAGAGTGAAAAGATATGACATTTTTATTAATAAAATCTCAAAGAAAATTTACATTGAAGTTATAGTTAGGTCGAACGAAGTCTAATTAGAGCTCAATGTGTGATGTTGGGAGAGGTAAAATGGCAAGTACAGTGGAGGAGGCCAAAGCCTTGGATCGACCCCAAAGTCATGCCAAAAGGCAAACTGTACTCACCCTCCATGACCTGTCCCTCTTCCCATGTGATATTTTAAATAGCCCCCACTTAAAGTAACCGTTTTCACGTGAAAGAACCTTGCAATGTTACTCTTCATTCATCTCCATCCATCTTCTTAATTACCTTTCAACATCATCTCGAATCCTAGCTAGCAAGCTTCACCCTTTGCTTTCAATTATATATAAACCAAAACAGTCCAATATTTTATCGTTCAAACTGTAAAATTATAATTTTTCAACGAGATAAAGCTTTTATTATTAAGGTTTGTTTTCTGTTTAAGAATCAATATTTTACAATTAAAACTCTCTATGCTATAAAATAATTTTTAAAAACTAAAATGCATTCCAAACTTAAGAATAAATTAAGGAATTTTTACATTCAAGACATGTTGTATCATGATCAATAAAATTGATAAAATCTCTTGACAATTGTATCAAAATATAAAACTCAAAGTTCTTGAAAACACTAATCTTTAAATAAATTACTCTTCTCATTTCAAAATAATAGTTATTTTTTAATTTTATTATCCAAATAAAAATTTAATGACAATTTTAAAAAATAAAAATAATGAGACTTAAATCACAATAAAATAAATAATTAAAATAAAAAATAAATTTGTGCCTCTTATAAAAAAAATAACTATTATTTTAAAATAAATTTATATAATAAAAAAAACATAACAGCGGGAATAAAATAGTACGAAATGTATGTAGATAGGTAAGGTCGGTAAAAGGGCGGGAGAAAATTTATCCTAGCGGGCCCTACATGTCGGCGAGCAGAACTGTTGTTAATCATGGCCCAGCTCAGCTCAATCGAGCCCAACCACACTCTACGCCCCAATACTGAGGCCCACGCAAACCATCCAAAATTGGCAATGTGGCGTCGTTTCATAACGAACTGGTGACCCGGATCCAGATGAGGTACCTTGAACCCGGGGCAATCCGATCCCCCGAAATTCCCAATTCAAATACGAACACGAAAAGCATCGGTTTCGTGTTGCGATCAAAATCAGAAACCCTAACAGGTTTTCTTCTCTCAATTAATTTCTCCTCTGTATATAATCGCTTCTAATCTCTCTCTTTTTCTTCCTTTGTGACATTGACTTAAATCTTTTTTTTTTTTTGGTATAATTTGAAACCCTAATTTCTTCTTTTACGTTCCGTGTTGGGTATGTTTTGTTGGCTGTTTTCTTTTTTTTTTCCCCGTTTTTTTTCTTTATATTTTTTTGATATTTTGACTATCTAAAGGTGGTTTGAATTCCTGGGAATTGAGGGTGATGTTTCGATGTTTGAAATTCGCAGGGAGAAATCAAAGCTCGAGTCTTGCGATGGCCAAAAGTTCCTTCAAGCTGGAACATCCTTTGGGTGCGTTTTTATCTTCTTTTTTTTTTTCTTTTTTGGCCGTATTTTGTTAGAATTTTTTGTTCGATTGAACCGTTTATGCCCATATAGATCTGGGGATTGTCTCTCTCTTCTTCTTTTTTTTGGGTCAAAGTCTTTGTGATGATTTTAATTCAGGGGAATTGGGTATTCTTGCAATTTCTTCGTTAATTTTGTGTTGAGAATTGAGATTCATCCACAAATCTGCTAGCTTGATTAATTGGATAATTGGATAGAAAAATATCAGAATTTTGGATAAGACTACCTGCAGAGTTCTACCTTTTTCAACAATGATTAGTTTAGCATAAGATTGCCATTCTCCATCTTTGCAAATTTCCATAATCATAGTTTTCTTTCTTGTTGTACTGTTTCTGTTATTTGATTTGATCATGGTATATCCTGAATAATGTATTTATTCTCTTAATTATTCTTTCGATTGTTGTACCATTCAGAAAGGAGGCAAGCTGAAGCTGCTCGCATCAGGGAGAAATACCCAGACAGAATTCCTGTAAGATATTGACTATAAACACTACATGCCTCCCATGCTATTTCCTTTACTCCTCCCCTGGTTCTGTTGATTTTCTAATTTTCTGCTCTTCTGACTTGCTGTTTGCAGGTTATTGTGGAGAGGGCGGAAAGGAGTGACATTCCTGACATTGATAAGAAGAAGTTAGTGGCATCTAAACCTATGCTACCTAAATATTTTTGCATTTTACTTTTCCGTACTATTTGCTATTATTCTACTTTCTTCTTGTTTGTAATCTTTGTATGTCATTGATGTGATAAGTATGTTAGATATTCAAGTTCTTTAATTTACATATATGATCAGAGGAAGGCAAGCTTATTGTTTTTCACAACAATTTGGTTATTATATTTATTCTGATAGACATATTCACCACTGTTCTTGTTATACTTATTATACTATAGTACGGGCCAAATTTTTTAAGTGATTCATTTGATTAGTTTGTCAACTCTTATCATTGTTTGGAAGTTCAACTATATATTTTACAATTGTGTGGATGAATTTCATTTCTAATGGTCTTTGTTAGCAACGCAGATACCTTGTTCCTGCCGACTTGACTGTAGGCCAGTTTGTTTATGTTGTCCGTAAAAGGATCAAGCTTAGTGCTGAAAAGGCGATATTTATCTTTGTTAAGAACACTCTCCCTCCTACCGGTGAGTCATTGTTAGTTGGATTTCATTTAATTACATACTTCAACAATTTTAATCATATTCTTATATTTTCTGTTTTCCATTTTACAGCTGCTTTGATGTCTGCGATCTATGAGGAGAACAAAGATGAAGATGGTTTCCTTTACATGACTTACAGTGGAGAGAATACCTTTGGGTCACATTAAGGACCTAAGGATTTCAATCCATGTATATAGATGGAATTACCAAGAAAAGATGTAAATGTTTGGTGATCCTCTAAAGTCAATGCCTTAGTATATCCGCTACTTGTCTATGGCAGTTTCCATCGAGCTTTGATTTGGATCTGTGGATTTGGAATTTAATTTCTCTGAATTGAAAAGCTGAAACTATTTCTATATATGATTCCTATTTGTCCCTGGCTTCTCTTTTTATATAATTTGATTGATGCCGTGTTTAAGCATGATGTAGCATTTTACATTAATATCTTTATGCTTTGGAAGATATTAGCATTGATGTCATGTATTTCAGGAATATGAATGACATGATTTTGTGAGGGCTTTGAACAAGATAAGATTGTTTCCTCATAAGTGAGAAAAAGAACACATCTAAGCCAAGTTCAATAGACTAATAAAAATATATTGGAATAAAGAATAAAACATTGTACTGTTTCTGCCATATTCATGATTCATTCAGAGGAATCATTTTTCTTGCTTTTCTTTCCCTTTGACACTCCCATCTTCATCATCAACTTCTTGGCTCCCTTCAAAGCAGCATCCTTGGCTTTACTGAACCCATCTTTCCCGCTGCCTTTCTTCTTGTCGCTACCATCTTTCTTTGCTGTGGTACTGTCACCTTCGACCATAGCACCAATTCCTCCAGCACCCCATTGATCTGCCCAGCTCGGTGCCTCACCCTCCATTCTTGCTTGTATTTTCTGTTATAAGAGTCCAACAACATCAATAGACATGCCTCAGATGCAATCAATCAACAAAGTAGATTACCAGATCTTAAATATGATACATAAGAACTCAAGGAATAAAGCAAGATCCATGAATAATTTAAGAAACCCTCTTCGGGAAGGGAGGATCAGAGGAAGAGAATACCTTCAAACTCGAGAGATCTGATGAAGAATTAGGGGCTCTGAGGTTGAGAAATCTGAGATTGTAAGAAGAAGTGTGGCTTTTAAACTTGATGAAAAAGAGGGGTCAAATGTTGGATGGGTTGTCCAATTGTGTTGAATTTCATTTCACCCTTTTTATAAAGGACTTGCCAACTACACGTTCCCATCTTCTGAAGCAAACCTGTCTGTCTAGCATCTTACAATTTTCATGCTTTTTTAATAAAGAATTCCGACCACTGGCGTTCTCTATTATGAACAGTTGTAATTCCTGATTAAAGGGTAATAATTGGGTATGGTGATGGGGCTTCTTTGCTGACATAAAGTGAAAGAGAAAAAAAAAGAAAAGGAAGATTTTGAAAATTATTTCTTCATTTGACCAAACAAACTGAGAGGAGGGGGCTAGGACACTTAGCACAGCCCACCACCTATATGTTGTATAATTTGAAATTTACTTTTCCCAATATATATATATATATATATTATTGAGTTAGTCATTCATCAATCTTTAGTGACTTTTTAAACCCAATTTTTAGAGCATTTTCATGAAATAAACTGACGTTACAAATTGCATTTCACGTGTCGTGATTTAGTGGTTACTTACTGTTTTAAAGGTAACCCGTGATTTATATTCTCAAATTTCAAGTTCAATATCCCACACTAACACCTCTAACATACTAACCTCTAATCATTGTTTTTATTAAAATAAATAAATAAATAACGCTACAAATTGTCAAAAAAATGTGGCGAACATATTAAGTAAAGAAAAAAAAAAAAAAAAAGAGGAAGAGTTTTCCATTTCTTCCAATCTGGGTGCAAGACCTAAGGAGTACTTGATCAAATTTACAAACCTGCATGATGTTAGGCCAGCTAACACTATTCTAAATAATTCACAGTTAGAAAGGCTCCAATAATTAGGATTTAGTTCTAAATTATTCAACTAGTTAATTAATAGCACTTTCTTTTACCTTGATCAGTAGGTCCTAACTGATGAAGTTGTCATCCTTAAATTTTGAAGTATTAATCAATCAACAATAATTAATATCCTTCTCCTTTCTCTGATGGTGACATGGAGAAGGGCTTCCAACTTCCGATCACCTGAAACTCCGGACGGTGAAAGCTGAGCACAATCCTTAACCATTATCTCATGTTTCTTGTCTTACACATCTCATGTGGATCTGTAGAACAGATCCCAAATGAGCAGCTTGAGGTAAACTTTTGAATTTGATTAGATATTTCATCCTTTTTTTTCCCTAAATTGTTGTACATAATTTTATGGTAAAGTGGAAACAAGCTTTCTCGGGAATGTTAGTTAGTTCCCATTTTTTGCACCTAATTAAGTGAGACTCCATTAAGGGGAAAATGTGAACTTTTAGGCCTATCAAGAAACCAGGGTATTTATGATTTATTCTTTTTGTAGGTGAAGTTCTTAAAAGAGGAGTTGGGTGATGATGCGGAATTCAACTACAAAGACAGGGACAGAATTTGATTCAGCCATGGCCAAATAACTGGTTCTGTTTCTCTTTGCTCATAAATGTCAAACTACACAACCTAAACATATTATGACATGAATTTCCATACACAGCTATTTCCCAAATGGGCATTGACAATTAATTACCTTGACAATGTTACGAGGAAGATCCATGGAAGTTGTTCTGAATTCTCTCTCCCAAAAATTGTAATATCCTCTCAACTACAAAATTGCAAGGAACATATTTTGATTCCATGATTGAAATTAAGATATGTTTATCTACACCGTGTGAAGCAATTAGATAAAAAGGAGAGCGGAATAACATGGTCTTTTTCTTCTTCCTTCACTTAGATTTCCTCATGGATTTTGATTTCTTAATCTTATTGGATTTATCGTCGACGCTAGTCCAGGTATATCCACTGGGTATGGCAAAAGGATCAGGTTGTTCCATCGCACAAGAGCTTCGCTGCTGCTTGCTTGCAGATGCCGAACGGCTGTTACTACGCCTCAGCCACGCACCCGATGACGACGATGAAGACGACGACGACGACTGCCACGGTACCGAGGAATAATGGGAATCGGAACTTTGGTCCTCCTTCCCTCCATTGGTGGCAAAAAATCTCGGGCTTGAAAGTGGTGTGTAGAATTGCTCCGTCGGTTGAAGTTCCTCGAACTTCGTGAACGTTATAACCACCCTCACTGTAGGGACCACCGGGATTGCCACCTGTATCATTAACCACACAAATCATGATATTTTTTTTATTAAAAATAATTATTTTTTTAATATTATATATCTTATTTTTTTTAATAATATACAAATCATAAAAATATAATTTTACATCATATTAAAATTATATTAATACGAATGTATGATTTCACAGGACATTATATGTATCACATTAGATTACAATATATTAATAGCAGGAGAAACATAGAATTAATAAAAAAAAAAAAAAAAGTAGGACCCACCAAGTCTACCATGTTTTTAGTAAATAAAAACCTAGTCATCAATTCCGCATTATGCTAATGAAAGGGAAATTTGAAATTTAACTTATTATGAAGACCACGTAAGCATGTCCGACAAAAATACAGTCCCCACAGAAAAGCTTCCCCGCTAATCAGAGAACAACAACAGACTTAAGCAAAGAGTCCAGGTCAGGTAAGCATCGGAAGACCCAAAAGTGAAAACTTCCTAAGTGACACATAGTGGACCCCGAAGAGAGTTTACCGGGATTACCCTTACCTTGACCGGAAATGTTCCCGGCGGGAACTTTGTGGTGAGCAATTCTCGCATCCTTCTTACTGCCTTCACTTTGCTGGCTAAGATGTCGAGCAGCGGAAGTAGTTCCTCCGTCTTCAACGGAAAATGCTCCGTTAGCCAGACACATGGCCGCAAACTACGGATGTACTCTTTTTCCTTGGTTTGCGGCGGAGGAGGCAGTGGCTTAATAGGAGTGAAGGAGGCCGATCTTCTAGGAGGCGCCATTGCCGATGACGGATAAACATCCACACTCTTCCTCCCAACCGAAATCCATTCTCTCTCCTCCCTCACGAAGCTACTGTGCCGCCTGTCAGGAACCGTGAAATTCGGATTTTCGCAAACTAAAAAACCGTCGTCGTCTTCGTCGAGCTCCAGAGGCAGTACCTGTTCGCTTCCGGCGACGTCGTTGTCCCTGGTGGCGACTTTACGTGATCTGAAACTGAATGTCACGTTATGAATTTCGTAAACCCTGGCTTTCCACTCTCCGACGCTCTCTGTTTTCTCTTGGCGCCTCCAGTTGGTTCTTCCGACGAGCTCTGCTCTGGTGACATCCATTCCTGGACGGTAGACGCTGGTTTGAGAGCAGAATCCGGCAATGTCTGACTCGCTCATCGGACCTCCCGCATTTTCAAATGCGTCGAAGATTTTGCAATCGTCACGATTAATGACTAACAAGGAGCCCGGAGAAATGTTGTGAACCTGATCACCGTCACCGAGGAAGAGAAAGCTCTGATCGGCGCGTTGGATTTTTAACCCATCGAAGCCGGCTAATGATGTGTCCGCGCGGAGATTGCCGTCGCGTTTCCAGATCTTGTAGGTATCAGACGGCGCAATTTTTCCGACGAACGGAATCACGGAGCTCTCAAAGTGAAACGAAATCTCCATGTAAAAATCCCGCATTCTGCGCAGCACAGAAATGACACGTGGCAGGCGGCGGCGCCACTTGCACCAGGCAGAGCGGTGATGAAGCTTGAGAAGGACCAGCGCAATTTCGGAGCTCTGTCTACAAAGAGCCTCCTGGAGCGGATTCCACCCGGCCGCGTTCTGCAGGGACACATCAGCCCCCGCGGAGGCAAGCGTCTTGGCAGCGACAGCGTCGTTGAGGCGCACAGCGAGGTGGAGAGGCGTCTCGCGGAAGGGAACATCCCGCCGGTCAAGCACAGCAGAGATCTGATCAGCAACTCGCTCCTGACTCAGCGAGTCAGACTCCGTATGGATCTTATCCGGATCGGCCATTTTAGGGAGAGCAGAGACAAGCCGACTGAGTCTCCTGTGATCTCCCGAAACAACAGCATAATGAACCGGACTGTGCCTGTAATCCTCGTGCTTGACAGTCGGATACGGCGCCGACGTGGACGCCGCCGACGATGATCTAGACATGTTTCAGTCACAGAAACGGGAAGGCAAGGGAAAACTGATAACAGTGGTGGTAAGAGTTATTGAATTTCTTTAAAAAATGCGATTAAAGAAAGTAAGAAACGCAGAAGAGAATGTTTATGGGGAGAGGTGAAGACAAGGGGTAAAACTGTCTTTTCGGTAGGGAATTTTATTGGGGAGCGTGCTTTTCATTTTTTCTGGTAATAGAAAGAGAAGAGACAGAGAGAGACACGAAATCTGGCGCGGCTTTTCGTGAAGCTTCAGAGGGGTAAAGCTTTATTTTTCTTTTGTACTTTTGAATTTTCTTTTTTTTTTTTTGGGTGAAATTCTTGCTATTGTGCGCCAAGAGTTACGGTGCATGTTAGTGATACGATGGTGGGCCGGTGATTTTTACGGTGATTGATTATCAAAGCTGGTAGTACTTGGTAGTGGGCCGGGCCCCACTTTTTACACCGCCTTAACACTGTTCTGGTATGATTGATATTAACGGGGAATTATGAGACGTATACTGTAAGCGTTTTTTTAATAGTATTTTTTTATCTTGAATCTTTAAAATATAAATTAAAAATATAATAAATATATTTTTTATAATTAATTTTTATTGAAAATATAAATATTAATTTTTATTTAATTAATTAATTAAAATTATTTATGTATCAATAATATTAAAATAAAAAAAATAATGAAAACATCTTGACACTAAAAATATTAAAACATGTAATAATAACTATATGATAAATTTAATAAAATTATAATTCATATTATACTTTACACATTTAATAGTTTTGTTAATGTTAGGATATTGTGATTTTTTCTTTTTTTTATTAAAATATATATTAATTTTTATAATATTTTATATGAATTAATTATAAAATATATATTATATTTTTAATTTGTATTCTTAAAATATATATTAAATAACTGAAAACTATTTTATAAGACAAACTATATATAATTTGTCGTATAAAATTATTTAAATGTTTTTTAAAAAATAATATAAGAATAAAATTAAAAATATTTCAATAATTTTATAAAATAAATTATACATGGTAAAACAGTTTCTCATTAAATAAACTTCTTTTATGAATTTTTTTTTTCATTTTTACGTTATAGTTATTATACTTTAATGAAGTAGTTTGATGATTCTTAGGAAACGTGAGGGAAATAAATGAGAGTAAATAAATGAACAGAAAACGGAAGTGCAGTCCCCACCGCGTTTTCCCCATCTACAGGATGTTGTGGACTGTAGGGAACGGTTGCGAACTAATAATTGTTGCCATAAAGATGAGACAGCTGGTTGGTTGCCAATGAGATGGATTTCTGAAATTCATCCAAGTTCAACATTACATACGGAGGGAAGGGAAGCTAATATGGTGGCAGATTTTTTTTGCCCAAGGTTAGGTGCTAGTCTTGATTTGTTCCATGTTTTGGATAAAGTAACGAGGGCCTTGTGAGGCCTCTTATATTTTAAGATTTTTTTTAATTTAATAAATTTATATAAAAAATATAAAAATAAATATTAATTTTAAAATTAATGTTACGTGAATAAATTTAATTAAATAATTGATAAATTAAATATTATTTTTTATTTTTTTCAAAATTTTTAACTTTTATTCTTAAGATATTGATTAAAAAAATCTTATTTTTATTTTATATCTATATTGGGATCATTTTTTTAGTATTTTAATTTCATCTATTTATTTTTATTTATTGAAAAGGAAAATTGAAGTATGATCTACTTTATACAAACTACATTTTTTATATCTATTGATAGATAGATAGGTTTTATAATATTAGAAATTTACTTTTTTTTATTAATAGTTTAAAATAATTAACTACACTACAATATTTTCATAGAAAAACTTATTGTTAAAAGTTTAGATAAAAAAGCAAAGTACATTAAGAAATTATACAACTAACAATTGTTAGAGTATGTAATTAAAGTGTACTTTTTTTCATACAATTTGTATTAAAAAAAACATTAATCTTTATATATACTTAATTCTTGCAATAGAATAACTTTGAAGAAGGAATGAAAGATTTTGGGTGGGGACTTAAGAAAAGTTTTTTTTGAAAAAGAGAAAAAAAGAAAAAAAAAATGGGAGGTGACCATTTGTGTTTGTCGTGACCAAATGGAAAATGCTACTACAAAGGAAGAGAACAGGGAAGTGTGTTTGCGGATGGTAAGACCAAAGCCTAACGGATTTCACACCCCACGATGCCCATCATCACCGAGACATTACTCCGACATCTTTGCCCCAAATCCAAATATCCACTTTTTGGTTTATGACTTTATTCTCACGATTCAACAAACTCCTCCCTCCAGAATCTGGTTATTAAAGTTCATGTTTGATTCGTCTGAAGAATAGAATGAGTATGGGGTCCGAGTTTTTTTTTTTT